TGCTTATTTAGTTTCTGACATATTTAATAACCAGAGCTTAATATGATATGCTTATTTAGTTTCTGACATATTTAATAACCAGAGCTTAATATGATATGCTCTATTAGTTTATGAGATATTTAATAATCAGAGCTTAATATGATATGCTCCTTTAGTTTCTGACATATTTAATAAACAGAGCTTAATATGATATGCTTATTTAGTTTCTGACGTATTTAATAACCAGATCTTAATATGATATGCTTATTTAGTCTACGAGATATTCAATAACCAGAGCTTAATATGATATGCTTCTTTGGTTTCTGACATATTTAGTAATCAGAGCGTAATGGGAGATGTTTCTTTGCATTCATATATGATTCAATTTTTGAGCTTTACGTGAAAGGCTTCTCTTCTATCGATTGTTTCGAAGGTAATAGAAAACTAATTTTTAAATGATAATTTTAAAGGCATAAAAGCCTAAGACACTATTGATTCCTCCTCACTGACTTCCTTTTGTGGCATTATAAAATGTTGTAATGGTAGATCTTCCTCGCTGATTCCTGGATAGATTGGAATAAATGGTGGCCATCCAATTAATGCCGGGTCATTGCAGAAGAAAGACCCCGGATCGTTATGACAACTGTAGTCATAGTAATCGTACTCTAGTCCATCTTCAGATTCTCCAATTGAAAATTCTGACAAGGACTGAGTTGACGCGACGATGCTTTCTGACTTTAGAGATTTATCTTTTAACCTGTCTACAGACTTCATGTCTGTTGGACAGACATTTCTAACAGCCTTATATACGTGATGACGTGACATGTTTTGACGAACTCCCTCGCTTCGTGGTTTTGGTTGCGGTGTAACTGCTGCTATTGGGAGTTTTCGTCTAGTTGCTGGTGTTAAACACCGGCGTTGGAGAAGAGATGGGCAAGGGCTTTGTGGTGGAGTGAGGGTGCAAACACTACTTGTAGATCGAAAAAGAAACGTATTGTGTAGTAGTTCCTCAGGACTAACTTTATCCTGACTGGTTACTGTCTTGTCCTGACTGGTTGCTGTCTTGTCTTGACGTCGGAGGGAAGCAGGGGAACAAGAGAGATCTGATACTGATGTGGTACCAGTTAAAAGTTTGACTTTTGGGCAAGGTTCTTGAATATTGTGGACAGACGAACAGGGTGACTCGGAACAGAGGCTCTTGCGTTTCTGGCGACATCTATTGTAGACTTCTTGTAAAACCAGCAAGATGGTGATGGCACTACCAACAACCGAAGCCAACACTACAAGGGTTAAATGTACAGCGCTGAATTTGACCTTCCCTGTTGAAGGACCATCCCAAACTGCTGTTAGGCTACTGACTTTCAAACCTGAATGAATCAATAGAAAACTATTAATATCGTCTCAACTTCTGTGTTACAATCAATCACAAGTAATAATAAAAAGAAATTTCCATAATTTCATCAGAAACGTTTACCTTTTATGTAAAACTTCAGAGTGAACTCTCCCTCGGTGGAAACCGAACCATTCGATGTGTGAAGGTCTATCCGGAGGGTCGAGCTGTAGGATTCTACCGGAGCATAGGTCATCTGGTTGTTCACGGTGGTCAACAGAGTTCCAACAGGTGAAGTACTATCTCTAACGGTCAGCCAGAACTCGGAGTCGATATCTACTTTAACAAACTGGACGCTTAGTTTACCTTCTGGCCAGGCTTCGAGAGTCCAGAAGCTGGGTTGGAGAGTACCAGAAGATATTCTTGCTGTCAGAGTTCCATTACTTGTGACGTTCACCTTGCAGCTAGAGTTACAATTAATCTTTAGTAGGAGATCATCAGATATGGTCGTGGTGTCCTCTGTTGACAAATAAAAGCAACAAACGCGTTCATTATTATAATTTTATCTATTATTCCGTTGGACAAAGCGCTATAAACCATTCATTATAAAACAAATATCTAGTAGAACCCGAAACAGATATCTGGTAGAACCATAAACAGATACCTGGTAGAACCCTAAACAGATATCTAGTAGAACCCTTTACATCAGAATTTTATAGAAGCACTATAATCTTAATGTTGAGTACAATTCAAAAATGATCAAAGTTGGAGTAAAACTGACTAAACCGATTGTAGGGATACTTTCCTACCCATAACCTCCCAGCTAGAGTGACATTTTCCTACCCATAGCTTCCCAGCTAGAGTGACACTTTCCTACCAATAGC